CCCGGCGCTTCATTTTGGATGCGCCCGGCCCCGCCCCCTCCGCCAGCCGCCAATCAACTCCCAGCGGGCGTGGCATCTCGTGATTGACATCCAAGGGGGCGTGGCCGGCGCGGGCGCGGCGGTTGGAGCCGCTGGGGGGCGATGTGAGCGGGGAATTTGGGACAATTTGGGGACATTTCGGTGGGGGGGGGGGTCTGGGGTCCCCAATTCCCGCCCTGGTGTCGCCTGTCCCCAGCCCGTGCGGTGGCGCTGTCCCGGTGCCACCCCCTGTCACTCCCGGTGTCCCGGTGCCACCCCCTGTCCCACTCCCGGTGTCCCGGTGCCGCCCCCATGCCAGCTGTCCCCGGTTCCGGTGCCAGTCCCGTTCCCGCTTGCCCCTGCCCGGTATTGCTCCCTGCCCTGCCCGGTATTGCCCCTGCCCGTTACCGCCCCCTGCCCGGTATTGCCCCCTGCCCGTTATTGCCCCTGCCCGGTATTGCCCCTTGCCCTGCCCGGTATTGCCCCTGCCCTGCCCGTCGTTTCCGGGCTCAGGGCAGCTCCGGTAACCCCAGAGCAGTTTCGGTGTCCCCGGGGGCGGTGTCGGTGTCCCCGGGGGCGGTGTCGGTGCGGTGTCGGTGTCCCCGGGGGCGGTGTCGGTACCGTGTCGGTGCCCCCGGGGGCGGTGTCGCTGCCGGTACCGTGTCGGTGTCCCCCCGGGGGCGGTGTCGGTGTCCCCGGGGGCGGTGTCGCTGCCGTCGCGGTGTCCCCGGGGGCGATGCGGGCGCTGAGGGCGCTGCGGCCCCGCAGGCTCCTGGCGATGGCGGCGGCGGCGGCGGCGGCGGCGGCCGGGGCCGGGGGCGTGCGGCGGAGCCCGGTGCTGAGCCCCGACTCGATGAACCCCGCCATCCGCCGCGTGGAGTACGCGGTGCGCGGCCCCATCGTGGTCCGCGCCCTGGAGCTGGAGCAGGACCTGCGCAAGGTACCGGGACACAAATCCCAGAAACGAACCGGGACAGACCCGGACCGCACCGGGACAAAGCGGGGGAAAGAGCCCGGGGCGGACCGGGGCGGGAGAGGGGAGTCCGGACCGGGACAGCCCGGGCCGGGGGGGGAAAAGGGGATTCCGGGCCGGGACACTCAGTCCTGTTCCGGACCAAAGGGATTCCGGACCGGGATAAACCGGGCCGGGGTGGGAAAAGGGGATTCCGGACCGGGATAAACCGGGCCGGGGTGGGAAAAGGGGATTCCGGACCGGGATAAACCGGACCGGGGCGGGAGAAGGGGATTCCGGACCGGGATAAACCGGGCCGGGGCGGGAGAAGGGGATTCCGGACCGGGATAAACCGGACCGGGGTGGGAAAGGGGGATTCTGGACCGGGATAAACCGGGCCGGGGCGGGAGAGGGGAGTCCGGACCGGGATAAACCGGGCCGGGGTGGGAAAAGGGGATTCCGGGCCGGGACACTCAGTCCTGGACTGGGAAAAAGGGATTCCGGACCGGGATAAACCGGGCCGGGGCGGGAGAGGGGAGTCCGGACCGGGACAGCCCGGGCCGGGGGGGGAGAAGGGGATTCCGGACCGGGGTGGGAAAAGGGATTCCGGACCGGGATAAACCGGACCGGGGTGGGAAAAGGGGATTCCGGACCGGGATAAACCGGACAGGGGGGGAGAAGGGGATTGGGGATGGGGAAATGGGATTGGGGATGGGAAAAACAGGATCGGGGACCGGGAAAAACGGGATCGGGGATGGGAAAAACGGGGAAAAACGGGATCGGGAAATGGGAAACACGGGATCGGGAAAACGGGGAAAAACGGGATCGGGGATGGGAAAAAGGGGGTTCGGGGAGCGGGGACCGGGGAAACGGGAAAAATGGGATCAGGGAGGGGAAAACGGGAAAAACGGGATCGGGGACGGGAAACGGGGAAAACGGGATCAGGGAGGGGAAAAACGGGATCAGGGATGGGAATGGTGTGGGAAAAATGGGAACAGGGACTGGGAAAAACCGGGATCAGGGACCGGGAAAATTTCCGGACCGGGATAAACCGGACCGGAGCGGGAGAAGGGGATTCCGGACCGGGATAAACCGGACCGGAGCGGGAGAAGGGATTCCGGACCGGGAACTGCCCCTAAGAACCGGGACACTCAGTCCCGGGCCGGGACCTGCCCCCTAGGAACCGGGCCAGCCCGTCCCGGACCGGGAACTGCCCCCAAGAACCGGGACAACCAGTCCGGGTCTGGGACAAGGCGATCCCGGACCGGGAACAGCCCCCAAGAACCGGGATAATCCATCCTGGACCGAGATAACCCAACCCCAAACCGAGATAAACCCCCTGGAACCGGGATAACCCCACCTGGACCGGGATATCCCGACCCCAAACCGAGATAACCCCCCCGGACCGGGATATTCCCACCCCAAACCGGGATAACCCCCCGGAACCGGGATAACCCCCTTTGGATCGGGATAACCCGACCCCAAACCGGGATAACCCCCCGGAACCGGGATAACCCCCCTGGAACCGGGATAACCCCCCGGACCGGGATATTCCCACCCCAAACCGGGATAACCCCCCCGGACCGGGATAACCCCCCCTGGAACCGGAATAACCCCCCTTGGATCTCCCTTGTCCCTGATCCCTGTCCCCACCTCATTCCTGTCCCTGTCCCTGTCCCTGTCCCCCTGTCCCTGTCCCCATCACTGTCCCCATTCCTGTCCCTGTCCCTGTGTCCCTGTCCCCGTCCCCTTGTCCGTCCCCACCTCATTCCTGACCCTGTCCCCAATCTTGTCCCTGTCCCTGTCCCCAATTCCTGTCCCTGTTGTCCCCATTCCTGTCCCTTGTCCCTGATCCCTGTCCCCACCTCATTCCTGTCCCTGTCCCTGTCCCTGTCCCCCTGTCCCTGTCCCCATCACTGTCCCCATTCCTGTCCCTGTCCCTGTGTCCCTGTCCCCGTCCCCTTGTCCGTCCCCACCTCATTCCTGACCCTGTCCCCAATCTTGTCCCTGTCCCTGTCCCTATCCCCAATTCCTGTCCCTGTTGTCCCCATTCCTGTCCCTTGTCCCTGATCCCTGTCCCCACCTCATTCCTGACCCTGTCCCCATCCCTGTCCCTGTGTCCCTGTCCCTGTCCCCTTGTCTCTGTCCCCACCCCATTCCTGACCCTGTCCCCATTCTTGTCCCTGTCCCTGTCCCTGTCCCTGTCCCTGTCCCTGTCCCCATCCCTGTCCCTGTCCCTGCTGTCCCTGTCCTCTTGTCCCTATTCCTGTCCCTTGTCTCCATCCCTGTCTCTGCTGTCCCCTCCCGTGTCCCCATCCCTGTCCCCATGCCTGTCCCTATCCCTGTTCCCAATTCCTGTCCCCTGTCCTTGTCCCTGTCCCTGATGTCCCTGTCCCCACCCCTGTCCCTGTCCTCGTCCCCGTCCCTGACCCTGACCCTTGTCCCCATCCCTGTCTCTGTCCCCATTCCTGTCCCCATCCTCGTCCCTTGTCCCTGTCCCTGTCCCCACCTCCATCTCTGTCCCTGCTGTCCCCATCCCTGTGCCCTCTCCTTGTCCCTTGTCCCCCATCCCTTGTCCCTGTCTGTGTCCCCATCCCTGTCCCCTTGTCCCTATTCCCTGTCCCTGTCCCCGTCCCTATCCCCATCCCTGTCCCCATCACTGTCCCCATCACTGTCCCTTGTCCCTGTCCCCATTCCTATCCCCGCTGTCCTCACTCCTGTCTCCATCCCTGTTCCTGTCCCCCTGTCCCTGTCCCCATTCCTGTCCCCATCCCCGTCTCCCTGTCCCTGTCCCCATTCTGTCCCCCTGTCCCTGTCCCCGCTGTCCCCAGGGTGTCCCCAAGCCCTTCACCGAGGTGATCAAGGCCAACATCGGTGACGCGCACGCCATGGGCCAGCAGCCCATCACCTTCCTGCCGTGGGTGGGTGGCACACCCCAAAACCCCAAAATCCCAAAACCCCAAAACCCCAAACCCCCAAAACCCCAAAACCCCAAACCCCCAAAAGCCAAATCTAACAAACCCCAAAATCCCCAAATCCCAAATCCAACAAAGCCCATAATCCCTGCGGCGGCCAGAGCATGGGTGGGTGGCACACCCCAAAACCCCAAAATCCCAAAACCCCAAAACCCCAACATCCCAAAACCCCAAACCCCAAAATACCAAAACCCCAAACCCCCAAAACCCAAATCTAACAAACCCCAAAATCCCCAAATCCAACAAAGCCCATAATCCCTGCGGCGGCCAGAGCGTGGGTGGGTGGCACACCCCGAAACCCCAAAATCCAAAAACCCCAAAATACCAAAACCCCAAAATCCCAAATCCCACAAAGCCCAAAATCCCAAATCCAACAAAGCCCAAAACCCCCAAATCCCAAATCCAACAAAGGCCATAATCCCTGCGGCGGCCAGAGCGTGGGTGGGTGGCACAGCCCAAATCCCAAATCCCACAAACCCCGAAATACCAAAACCCCAAAATCCCAAATCCCACAAAGCCCAAAATCCCACAAACCCCAAAATGTCAAATCCAACAGTCCCAAATCCCAAAATCTCACAAACCCCCAAATCCCAAATCCAACACCCCAAAATCCCCAAATCCCAAAATTTCAGCGTCCCAGCACCCAACTCCACCCATCCCCCAATGTCCCCCCAATGTCCCTAAAAGTCCCCAATCCCAAATATCCCCAGTGTCCCCAAGGTGTCCCCAATGTCCCCAAGGCCCCCCAATATCCCCAATATTCCCAACATCCCCAATGTCCCCCAATGTCCCCAATGTCCCCAATGTCCCCAATACCCCTGAGTGTCCCCAAAGTCCCCAATGTCCCCCCAATGTCCCCAGTGCCCCAAAGTCCCCAGTGTCCCCAGTGCCCCCAATGTCCCCCAATGTCCCCCCAATCCCTCGAATGTCCCCAATGTCCCCAATCACCCCAATGTCCCCAATACCTCTGAGTGTCCCCAATGTCCCCTGAGTGTCCTCAATGTCTCAAAGTCCCCAGTGTCCCCAGTGCCCCCCAACATCCTCAATTTCCCCAATGTCCCCAATACCCCTGAGTGTCCCCAATGTCCCCAATGTCCCCAATGCCCCTGAGTGTCCCCAATGTCCCCAATGTCCCCAATACCCCCTGAGTGTCCCCAATGTCCCCAATGTCCCCCCCAGTGTCCCCAATACCCCAATGTCCCCAGTGTCCCCAGTGTCCCCAATACCCCCTGAGTGTCCCCAATGTCCCTAATGTCCCCATACCCCAGCTGGCCTCTGTCCCCCCCGCCCACCCCGAAGTCCCCCCCACCCTGTGAGCTGTCACCCCTCGGTGACGGGCGGTGACAGGGCGGTGACAGGGCGGTGACAGGCGGTGATGGCCGGTGACAGGGCGGTGACAGGCGGTGACAGGAGGTGACAGCGCCCTTGTCGCCTGTCGCCAGGCTCGTACAGCGCCAGCCCCGGCGTGCAGCTGGTGCGCGAGAGCGTCGCGCGCTACATCGAGCGTCGCGACGGTGTCCCCGCCAGGGCCGACGACATCTTCCTGTCCACGGGCGCCAGCGACGCCATCGTGGTACGGCGACATCGCGACACGGGCCAGCCCCGCACCCCCCCCGCCCCGCCACACCGCGGGGACACCGGGCGCGGTGCCACCCCCCGGCCGTTCCCACGGCGGGCGGCGACAAAGGGACCTTTGTGCTCCGGGAGGGGGCGGGGGTGGCGTGTCGCCGGTGTCCCCACGGCTCCGCCGGGGACGGTGCCAGCTCCGCTCGGGGGGTGGCAGCGCGTTGTCGCCAAGGCCGGCTGGTTGCCGTGGCGATGGTGGCGCTGTGCTGGGGACAGCGCTGTCCCTCGCGTGTCGCCGTCCAGTTGTCCCCGAGTGGCTGTGCCCTCCTGGTCCCCACCATGTCCCCACGTCCACACCGCGTCCCCCGATGTCCCCGTGATGATGTCCCTGTGATGTCCCCGTGTCCACATCAACAGAGTCGCCAAGATGTCCCTGTGCCCCCTCCTTGTCCCCACCATGTCCCCTCATTGTCACCACGACCACCCTGGCCGTGTCCCCTCCATGTCCCCACTGCTGTCCCCTTATCATCTTCATGTCCCCTCATTGTCCCCATGTCCCCACCTCCGTGCCATCTCCACCCCAACCATGTCCCCTCACTGTCCCCTCGCTGTCCCCTCAATGTCTCGATTCCCACCCCGTCGCTGTCCCCTGATTGTCCCCTCCATGTCCCTGTTCCCACCCCACTCTGACCCCTTCATGTCCCCTGATTGTCCCCTCCATGTCCCTGTTCTCACCCCACTCTGACCCCTCTCTGTCCCCTGACTGTCCCCTCTCTGTCCCCTCTCCGTGTCCTGATTCCCACCCCACTCTGACCCCTTCCTGTCCCCTGATTGTCCCCTCCATGTCCCTGTTCTCACCCCACTCTGACCCCTCTCTGTCCCCTGACTGTCCCCTCTCTGTCCCCTCTCCGTGTCCTGATTCCCACCCCACTCTGACCCCTTCCTGTCCCCTGATTGTCCCCTCCATTTCTCGATCCCTACATCCTGACTGTCCCCTGATTGTCCCCTCCATGTCTCGATCCCCACGTCCTGACTGTCCCCTGACTGTCCCCTGATTGTCCCCTCCATGTCTCGATCCCCACCTCACTCTGACCCCTCAATGTCCACTCTCCGTCCCCTCTCTGTCCCCTGATTGTCCCCGATCCCATGCCACGACTGTCCTCTGATTGTCCCCCATCCCACTCCCTGACTGTCCCCTGACTGCCCCCTCGCTGTCCCCTGACTGTCCCCTGATTGTCCCCTCGCTGTCCCCTGACTGTCCCCTGTGTCCCCTCCCCAGAACGTGCTGAAGCTGCTGGTGTGCGGCTCGGGCTCGTCGCGCACGGGGGTGCTGATCCCGATCCCGCAGTACCCGCTGTACTCGGCGGCGCTGGCCGAGCTGGACGCGGCGCAGGTGAACTATTACCTGGCCGAGGAGCGCTGCTGGGCGCTGGACGTGGCCGAGCTGCGGCGGGCGCTGGCCGAGGGCCGCCGGCGCTGCTGCCCCCCCCCCGCTGTCCCCTGATTGTCCCCTCGCTGTCCCCTCGCTGTCCCCTGACTGTCCCCCGTGTCCCCTCCCCAGAACGTGCTGAAGCTGCTGGTGTGCGGCTCGGGCTCGTCGCGCACGGGGGTGCTGATCCCGATCCCGCAGAGCTGTCCCCTCGCTGTCCCCTCGCTGTCCCCTGACTGTCCCCCGTGTCCCCTCCCCAGAACGTGCTGAAGCTGCTGGTGTGCGGCTCGGGCTCGTCGCGCACGGGGGTGCTGATCCCGATCCCGCAGAGCTGTCCCCTCGCTGTCCCCTCGCTGTCCCCTGACTGTCCCCCGTGTCCCCTCCCCAGAACGTGCTGAAGCTGCTGGTGTGCGGCTCGGGCTCGTCGCGCACGGGGGTGCTGATCCCGATCCCGCAGAGCTGTCCCCTCGCTGTCCCCTCGCTGTCCCCTGACTGTCCCCCGTGTCCCCTCCCCAGAACGTGCTGAAGCTGCTGGTGTGCGGCTCGGGCTCGTCGCGCACGGGGGTGCTGATCCCGATCCCGCAGAGCTGTCCCCTCGCTGTCCCCTCGCTGTCCCCTGACTGTCCCCCGTGTCCCCTCCCCAGAACGTGCTGAAGCTGCTGGTGTGCGGCTCGGGCTCGTCGCGCACGGGGGTGCTGATCCCGATCCCGCAGAGCTGTCCCCTCGCTGTCCCCTCGCTGTCCCCTGACTGTCCCCCGTGTCCCCTCCCCAGAACGTGCTGAAGCTGCTGGTGTGCGGCTCGGGCTCGTCGCGCACGGGGGTGCTGATCCCGATCCCGCAGAGCTGTCCCCTCGCTGTCCCCTCGCTGTCCCCTGACTGTCCCCCGTGTCCCCTCCCCAGAACGTGCTGAAGCTGCTGGTGTGCGGCTCGGGCTCGTCGCGCACGGGGGTGCTGATCCCGATCCCGCAGAGCTGTCCCCTCGCTGTCCCCTCGCTGTCCCCTGACTGTCCCCCGTGTCCCCTCCCCAGAACGTGCTGAAGCTGCTGGTGTGCGGCTCGGGCTCGTCGCGCACGGGGGTGCTGATCCCGATCCCGCAGAGCTGTCCCCTCGCTGTCCCCTCGCTGTCCCCTGACTGTCCCCCGTGTCCCCTCCCCAGAACGTGCTGAAGCTGCTGGTGTGCGGCTCGGGCTCGTCGCGCACGGGGGTGCTGATCCCGATCCCGCAGAGCTGTCCCCTCGCTGTCCCCTCGCTGTCCCCTGACTGTCCCCCGTGTCCCCTCCCCAGAACGTGCTGAAGCTGCTGGTGTGCGGCTCGGGCTCGTCGCGCACGGGGGTGCTGATCCCGATCCCGCAGAGCTGTCCCCTCGCTGTCCCCTCGCTGTCCCCTGACTGTCCCCCGTGTCCCCTCCCCTGGGATCCATGGGATATCTCGGTTGGATCCATGGGATATCTCGGTGGGATCCATGGGATATCGAGGGTAGGATCCATGGGATATCAAGGGTAGGATCCATGGGATATCTCGGTGGGATCCATGGGATATCAAGGGTAGGATCCATGGGATATCTCGGTTGGATCCATGGGATATCTGGGATGGGATCCATGGTTTATCGAGGGTGACATAAGCCCCCGCCGTCCCCAGGCCAGGTGCAGAGCCGCGAGTGCATCGAGGAAGTGATCAAGTTCGCCTACGAGGAGAAGCTCTTCCTGCTGGCTGACGAGGTGGGCGGGGCCGCGGCCACCTGGGCGCGTCCCCCATTCCCGGGAAGAGCCCGGAATTCCCGGTGACGCGGCGGGATGTCCCCACGCCAGGTGTACCAGGACAACGTCTACGCCGAGGGCTCGGCCTTCTACTCCTTCAAGAAGGTGCTGATGGAGATGGGGCCGCCCTACTCGGACTCGGTGGAGCTGGCCTCCTTCCACTCCATCTCCAAGGGATACATGGGAGAGTGAGTCCTGGGAATGCCCTGGGAATGACAGAGGCCCCGCGGGTCCCGCCAGATGGGGGATGGAGAGGCCACCACCCCATGGATCCCCTGGGATTGGGGTCATGGATGGCATGGATTGGGGGTGGAGATGCCACCACCACCCCATGGATCCCCTGGGATTGGGGTCATGGATTGTCACGGATGGCATGGATTCGGGATGGAGAGGCCACCACCCCATGAATCCCCTGGGATTGGGGTCATGGATGGCATGGATTGGGGGATGGAGAGGCCACCAACCCATGGATCCCCTGGGATTGGGATTGGGGTCATGGATTGTCATGGATTGGGATGGAGGGGCCACCACCCCATGGATCCCCTGGGATTGGGGTCATGGATGTCATGGATTGGGGGATGGAGAGGCCACCAACCCATGGATCCCCTGGGATTGGGGTCATGGATGTCATGGATTGGGATGGAGGGGCCACCACCCCATGGATCCCCTGGGATTGGGGTCATGGATGGCATGGATGTCATCGATTTGGGATGGAGAGGCCACCACCCCATGGATCTTCCGGGACTGAGATTGGGGACATTAATGTCATGGATTCGAGATGGAGATGCCACCACCACCCCATGGATCCCCTGGGATTGGGGTAAGGATGGCATGGATTGGGGGATGGAGAGGCCACCACCCCATGGATCTCGTGGGATTGTGGTCATGGATGGCATGGATTGGAGATGGAGATGCCACCACCACCCCATGGATGCCCTGGGATTGGGCTTATGGATGTCATCGATTTGGGATGGAGATGCCACCACCACCCCATGGATCCCCTGGGGTTGGGGACATGGATTGTCATGGATGGCATGGATTGGGGGATGGAGAGGCCACCCCCCCATGGATCCCCTGGGATTGGGGTCATGGATGGCATGGATTGGGGGATGGAGAGGCCACCCCCCCATGGATCCCCTGGGATTGGGGTCATGGATGGCATGGATTGGGGGATGGAGAGGCCACCCCCCCATGGATCCCCTGGGATTGGGGTCATGGATGGCATGGATTGGGGGATGGAGAGGCCACCCCCCCATGGATCCCCTGGGATTGGGGTCATGGATGGCATGGATTGGGGGATGGAGAGGCCACCCCCCCATGGATCCCCTGGGATTGGGGTCATGGATGGCATGGATTGGGGGATGGAGAGGCCACCCCCCCATGGATCCCCTGGGATTGGGGTCATGGATGGCATGGATTGGGGGATGGAGAGGCCACCCCCCCATGGATCCCCTGGGATTGGGGTCATGGATGGCATGGATTGGGGGATGGAGAAGCCACCACCCCATGGATGCCCTGGGGTTGGGGTCATGGATTGTCATGGATGTCATTGATTTGGGATGGAGAGGCCACCACCCCATGGATCCCCTGGGATGGGTCATGGGACCCATCCATGGGTCCTGCTCCATGGGTTCCCATCCATGGATCCCCATCCCAAAATCCCATCCATGGATCCCATCCACAGATTCCCATCTATGGATCCCATCCCAAAATCCCATCCATGGATCCCATCCACAGATTCCCATCTATGGATCCCATCCATGGATCCTTCTCTGGATGTTCCCATCCATGGATCCCACCCCAAACCCCCATCCATGGATCTTCACCCACGAATCCCACCCACATCTCCTACCCATGGGTGCCTCTCCATAGCTTCCTCTCCATGGATTCCCATCCCAAACCCCCATCCATGGATCCCACCCACGGATCCCATCCATGGGTGCCTCTCCATACGTTCCTCTCCATGGATTCCCACCCCAAACCCCCATCCGTGGGTCCCATCCATGGATCCTTCTCCATAGGTTCCCATCTGTGGATCCCACCCATGGGTGCCTCTCCATAGGTTCCTCTCCATGGATCCCATCCCAAATCCCCATCCACGAATCCCACCCACATCTCCCATCCATGGGTCCTTCTCCATAGGTTCCTCTCCATGGATCCCATCCCAAACCCCCATCCATGGATCTCTGTCTATGGATCCCACCCACAAATCCCACCCACATCTCCCATCCATGGGTCCCATCCATGGATCCTTCTCCAGACGTTCACATCCGTGGATCCCATCCATACGTTCCTCTCCATGGATTCCCATCCCAAACCCTCATCCATGGATCCCATCCATGGATCCTTCTCCAGAGGTTCCTATCCATGAATCCCACCCATGGGTGCCTCTCCATAGGTTCCTATCCATGGGTCCCATCCATGGATCCTTCTCCAGAGTTTCCCATCCGTGGATCCCATCCATGGGTCCCTCTCCATAGGTTCCTCTCCATGGATTCCCATCCCAAACCCCCATCCGTGGATCCCATCCATGGATCCCATCCCAAATCCCCATCCACGAATCCCACCCACATCACCCATTCATGGGTCCTTCTCCATAGGTTCCAATCCATGGATTCCCACCCCAAACCCCCATCCATGGATCTCTGTCCATGGATCCCACCCACAAATCCCACCCACATCTCCCATCCATGGGTCCCATCCATGGATCCTTTTCCAGAAGTTCCTCTCCATGGATTCCTACCCCAAACCCCCATCCATGGGTCCCATCCATGGATCCTTTTCCAGAGGTTCCCTTCCGTGGATCCCATCTATGGGTCCCTCTCCATAGGTTCCTGTCCATGGATCCCATTCCAAACCCCCGTCCATGGATCCCATCCATGGATCCTTTGCCAGAGGTTCCTCTCCAGGGATTCCCATCCCAAACCCCCATCCATGGATCCCACCCACGGATCCCATCCATGGGTCCCTCTCCATGAATTCCCACCCCAAACTCCCTTCCATGGGTCCCATCCATGGATCCTTCTCCAGAGTTTCCCATCCGTGGATCCCATCCATGGGTCCCTCTCGATAGGTTCCTCTCCATGGATTCCCATCCCAAACCCCCATCCATGGATCCCACCCACGGATCCCATCCATGGGTGCCTCTCCAAAGATTCCTCTCCATGGATTCCCATCCCAAACCCCCATCCATGGGTCACATCCATGGATCCTTCTCCAAGGATCCCACCCGTGGCTTCCACCACCAGCCCGATCCCCATTCCCGGTTTCCCCCGTTCCCGTCCCCGTTCCCGATCCCGATGCCGGCTGCCGGCAGGTGCGGGCTGCGGGGCGGCTACATGGAGGTGGTGAACCTGCACCCCGAGGTGAAGGCGGAGCTGGCCAAGCTGGTGTCCGTGCGTCTGTGCCCGCCCGTGCCCGGACAGATGGTCCTGGACGTCGTCATGGACCCGCCCAAGCCCGGAGACCCCTCCTACGAGCGCTTCCAGGCAGTACGGAGCGGGATGGGGTCCATGGGATTGGGATCCATGGTCATGGACCCGCCCAAGCCCGGAGACCCCTCCTACGAGCGCTTCCAGGCAGTACGGAGCGGGATGGGATCCATGGGATTGGGATTGGGATCCATGGGATGGGGTCCATGGGATTGGGATCCATGGGATTGGGATCCATGGTCATGGACCCGCCCAAGCCCGGAGACCCCTCCTACGAGCGCTTCCAGGCGGTATGGGATGGACTGGGATTGGGACTGGGATTGGGATCTGTGGGATTGGGATTGAGATGGGGATTGGGATTGGGATGGGATAATGGGATAACGGGATAATGGGATAATGAATGGGATAACGGATGGGATAACAGGATGGGGTGGGGATGGGATAATGGGAGAACAGGATAATGGGGAAATAGGATAATGGGATATTGGAATAATGGGATAATGGAAAGGAATGGAGTTTAATTGGGATGAGATAATGGGATAATGAGATAATGTGGTAATGGGATAATGGGATAATGGGATGGGATGGGATAATGGGATAATGGGATAGGATGGGATAACGGGATAATGGGATGGGAATGAGATAATGGGATAATAGGATGGGATGGGGTAATGAGATAATGGGATAATGGGATAATGGGATGGGGTAATGAGATAATGGGATAATGGGATAATGGGATGGGGTAATGAGATAATGGGATAATGGGATAATGGGATGGGGTAATGAGATAATGGGATAATGAGATGGGATAATGGGATAATGAGATGGGATGGGGTAATGGGATAATGGGATAATGGGATAATGGGATAATGGGATAATGGGATAATGGGATAATGGGATAATGGGATAATGAGATGGGATGGGGTAATGGGATAATGGGATAATGGGATAATAGGATGGGATGGGGTAATGGGATAATGAGATAATGGGATAATGGGATAATGGGATAATGGGATGGGGTAATGAGATAATGGGATAATGAGATGGGATAATGGGATAATGAGATGGGATGGGGTAATGGGATAATGGGATAATGGGATAATAGGATGGGATGGGGTAATGGGATAATGAGATAATGGGATAATGGGATAATGGGATAATGGGATGGGGTAATGGGATAATGGGATAATGGGATAATGCGATAATGAGATAGTGGGGTAATGGGATAATGGGTTGGGATAATGGGATAACGGGATGGGATAATGGGACAAAAGGATGGGATAATGGGATAACGGGATGGGATAATGGGATAACGGGATGGGATAATGGGATAACGGGATGGGATAATGGGATAACGGGATGGGGTAATGGGATAATGGGTTGGGATAATGGGATAACGGGATGGGATAATGGGACAAAAGGATGGGATAATGGGATAACGGGATGGGATAGTGGGACAACGGGATGGGATAATGGGACAACGGGATGGGATAATGGGACAAAAGGATGGGATAATGGGATAACGGGATGGGATAGTGGGACAACGGGATGGGATAATGGGACAACGGGATGGGATAATGGGACAATGGGATGGGATAGTGGGCCAACGGGATGGGATAGTGGGCCAACGGGACGGGGTAGCGGGATATTGGGGTGTCCCGGATCAGAATTCCCGTGTGTCCCGGCAGGAGAAGGAGGCGGTGCTCAGCGCCCTGGCGGAGAAGGCGCGGCTGACGCAGGAGATGTTCAACCGCACGCCCGGCATCCACTGCAACCCCGTGCAGGGCGCCATGTACTCCTTCCCCCGCATCGACCTGCCGCCCCGCGCCGTGGCCGCCGCCAGGGTCCGGGAATAGCGGGAATAGCGGGAATAGCGGGAATAACGGGCCGGGTCCACGCCGGGAACGGGCGGGATCCACAGCGGGAACGGGCGGGATCCACACCGGGAATGGGCGGGATCCACACTGGGAGATGTGGGGATGGATGGGATCCCAACAACCTGGAGATGTTGGGATCCCAGCCGGGAGATGTTGGGATGAATGGATCCCAGCCTGGAGATGTTGGGATCCCAACCTGGAGATGGGATGGGCGGGATCCAAACCAGGAAACTGGGGATGGATGGGATCCCAACTGGGATGAATGGGATCACAACTGGGATGGATGGGATCCAAGCTGGGATGGATGGGATCACAACTAGGAGATGCTGGGATGGGCAAGATCCCCAAATGGGAGATGTGGAGATGGATGGGATCCCAACTGGGAGGTGTTGGAATGGGTGGGATCCCAGCCAGGAGATGTTGGGATCCCAGCCGGGAGATGTTGGGATCCCAGCCGGGAGATGTTGGGATGAATGGATCCCAGCCTGGAGATGTTGGGATCCCAACCTGGAGATGGGATGGGCGGGATCCAAACCAGGAAACTGGGGATGGATGGGATCCCAACTGGGATGAATGGGATCACAACTGGGATGGATGGGATCCAAGCTGGGATGGATGGGATCACAACTAGGAGATGCTGGGATGGGCAAGATCCCCAAATGGGAGATGTGGGGATGGATGGGATCCCAGCTGGGAGGTGTTGGAATGGGTGGGATCCCAGCCAGGAGATGTTGGGATCCCAGCCGGGAGATGTTGGGATCCCAGCCGGGAGATGTTGGGATGAATGGATCCTGACTGGGATGGGATCCCAACCTGGAGATGGGATGGGCGGGATCCAAACCAGGAAACTGGGGATGGATGGGATCCCAACTGGGATGAATGGGATCACAACTGGGATGAATGGGATCCAAACTGGGATGGATGGGATCCCAACTGGGACGGACAGGATTCCAACTGGGAGATGTTGGGAGGGATGGGATCCAAACTGGGATGGATGGGATCCCAACTGGGAGATGCTGGGATGGATAAGATTCCAATTGGGAGATGTCGGAATGGACAGGATCTCAACTGGGATGGAGAAGATCCCAACTGGGATGGATGGAATCCCAACTGGGATGGAGGGGATCACAACTGGGATGGATGGAATCCCAACTGGGATGGAGGGGATAACAACTGGGAGATGCTGGGATGGATGGGATCCAAACTGGGATGGTTGGGATCACAACTGGAAGATGCAGAGATGGGCAGGATCCCCAAATGGGAGATGTTGGAATGGATGGGATCCCAGCTGGGAGATGTTGGAATATGACGGGATCCCAACTGGGATGGACAAGATCCCAATTGGGATGGATGGAATCCCAACTGGGAGATGTTGGGATGGATGGGATCCAAACCAGGATGGGTGGGATCTGCACTGGGAACGTGGGGATGGGCAGGATCCCAACTGGGATGGGTGGGATCCCAACCTGGGAGATGTTGGGATGGACGGGATCTAAACTGGGAATACGGGGATGGACGGGATCCAAACTGGGAATATGGGGATGGACGGGATCCAAATTGGGAATATGGGGATGGACAGGATCCAAACTGGGAATATGGGGATGGACGGGATCCAGACCTGGAGTTGTTGGGATGGACGGGATTCCAGCATGGGAGATGTTGAAATGGACGGAATCCCAACTGGGATGGACAGGATCCATCCTGGGATGGACAGAATCCCAACTGGGATGGACGGGATTCCAACATGGGAGATGTTGAAATGGATGGAATCCCAACTGGGATGGACGGGATCCATCTTGAGATGGACAGAATCTCAACTGGGAGATGCTGGGATGGATGGGATCGATCCCAATCCGTGTGGGACTCATGGGGATCGATCCCAATCCGTGTGGGACTCACGGGGATCGATCCCAATCCGTGTGGGACTCGTGGGGATCGATCCCAATCCATGTGGGACTCGTGGGGATCGATCCCAATCCACGTGGGGAGTATGGGATGAGCCCTCGGCCCCCTGCTGGATCGGATCCCCGTTTTTCCGACCCCGGAATTCCATCCCGAATTCCCAGGAGAAGAAGCAGGCCCCGGACATGTTCTTCTGCATGAGGCTCCTGGAGGAAACCGGGATCTGCGTCGTCCCAGGAAGCGGCTTCGGACAGAAGGAAGGCACCTACCACTTTCGGTAGGATCCCACCCCAAATTCCCTGTTCTGGGGAGATCCCACCCCAAATTCCCTGTGCCTGGGAGATCCCACCCCAAATTCCCTGTGCCTGGGAGATCCCACCCCAAATTCCCTGTGCCTGGGAGATCCCACCCCAAATTCCCTGTGCCTGGGATCCCCCACCCCAAATTCCCTGTTCCCTATCCCAAATTCTCAAATTCCCCCATCCCAAATCCCCAAATCCCCCATCCCAAATTTCCCCCATCCTGAATTCCCAAATCCCCAAATCCTAAAATTCCTCCACCCCAAATCCCCCATCCAAATTCCCTGTTCCCCCATCCCAAAACCCCAAATCCCCCTGTCCCAAATTCCCAAATCCGCTCATCCCAAATCCCCTGTTCCCACATCCCAAATCCTCAAAACCTCAAACTCCAAATCCCCAAACCCCAAATCTCAAACCCCAAATCCCAAATCCCCAAATCTCCAATCCCCAAATCTCCAATCCCCAAACCCCAAATCCCCAAACCCCAAATCCCAAATCTCAAACACCAAATCCCAAATCCCCAAATCTCCAATCCCCAAATCTCCAATTCCCACACCCCAAATCCCCAAATCCCAAATCCCCAAACCCCAAATCCCCAAACCCCAAATCCCCAAACCCCAAATCTCCAAATCCCAAACCCAAATCCCAAATCCCAAATCCCAAATTCCCCCATCCTAAGTCCCAAATCTCCAATTCCCAAACCCAAATCCCCAAATCCCAATCCCCAATCCTCAAATCCCCATACCCCAAACCCCAAATCCCAAACCCAAATCCCAAATCCCCAAACCCCAAATCCCCAAATCTCCAATCCCCAAATCTCCAATTCCCAAACCCCAAATCCCAAATTCCCCCATCCTAAATCCCAAATCACCAATTCCCACACCCCAAATCCCAAACCCAAATCTCCAATCCCCAAATCTCAAACCCCAAATCCCAAACCCCAAATACCACAACACTTGGGAATTCCAGTTCCTCCATTCCTTGGGAATTCTGTCTTGTCCAAGCCTTGGGAATTTCAGCTTCTTCGATCCTTGGGAATTCCAGTTCCTCCGATTCTTGGGAATTCCAGCTCATCCAATTCTTGGGAATTCCAGTTCCTCCGATTCTTGGGAATTCCAGTTCCTCCAACCCTTGGGAATTCCAGTTCCAACCCTTTGGATTCCAGCTCCAGTCCTTGGGAATTCCTCCTCCAACCCCTGGGAATTCCAGATCCTCCAGTCCTTGGGAATTCCTCCTCCAACCCTTGGGAATTCCTCCTCCAACCCTTGGGAATTCCAGCTCCAACCCTTGGGAATTCCAGCTCCTCCAACCCTTGGGAATTCCTCCTCCAACCCTTGGGAATTCCAGCTCCTCCAGTCCTTGGGAATTCCTCCTCCAACCCTTGGGAATTTCTCCGCCAACCCTTGGGAATTCCAGTTCCTCCAGTCCTTGGGAATTCCAGCTCCTCCAGTCCTTGGGAATTCCAGCTCCTCCAACCCTTGGGAATTCCAGCTCCATTTCATCCTGGAAAAGGGGATTTTGGATCTGGATTTTTTTCCCGGATCCCGGTCTGGGATCGCTCGGCTCTGTGTTCTGCCATGGAATTCCCGGGCAAGGTTTTTGGGGTTTTCCTGGATCCGGAAGCTCCAGAGCCTGTTCCCGACAAATCCCGAATTGGGATTGGGGTTCCCAGGGGATTTGGGATCAGGAGAATTCCCGCAGGAATTGGGCGTGGAAGCGGCGGAGGAGCAGCAGCGCCCACTGCAGCAGGGACGGCCTGGGGACAAACCCCAAATCCCAAAGTCCCGAAATCCCCAAATCTTCAAATCCCAAAGTCCCAAAATCCCCAAATCCTGAAACCCCAAATCCCAAAGTCTCGAAATCCCCAAACCTTCAAATCCCAAAGTCCCAAAATCCCCAAATCCTGAAATCCCAAATCCCAGCATCCCCAAATCCCAGCGTATCCTGACCTCCCAGCATCCCCAAATCCTAAAGTTCTGAAATCCCCAAATTCCAAGGTCCCCAAATCCCCACATCAAGTCCTCAAATCACGAGATCCCAAATCCCTAAATCCCCAAATCCTGAAATCCCAAATCCCAAAGTCTCGAAATCCCCAAATCTTCAAATCGCAGCGTCCCCAAATCCCAGAGTCCAGACATCCCCAAATTCTGAAATCCCAAATCCCCAAATCCCAAAGTCCCAAATTTCCCAAATTCCAAAGTCCCCAAATTCCCAAATCAAATCCTGAAATCCCCAAATCCCAAAGTCCTCAAATCCCAAAATGCCAAATCCCTAAATCCCCAGAGTCTCAAAATCCCCAAATCTCCAAATCCCAAAGTCCCCAAATCTCAAAGTTCTGAGATCCCAAAGTCCCAAAATCCCAAAGTCCCAAAATCCCCAAATCCCAGCATGGCAGCATTCCAAAATCTCAGCGTCCCAGTATCCACCAATCCCAAAATCCAAGACCCAAAATCCCATCATCCCAACAACCTCGAATCCCAACAGCCCAAAATCCCAACAGCCCAAAATCCCAAAATTCCAGCATTCAACACCCCAAATCCCCAAATCCCAACACCCCAAAATCCTAAACCCCAAACCCCAACATCCCCAAATCCCAATGCCCAACATCCCAACATCCAAGATCCCGGCATTCCAAAATTCCGAAATCCCAACACCCAACAGCCCCAAAGCCCAAAATGCACAACCCAAAATCCGAACACCCGAAAATCCCAACATCCGCACCCGAAATCCCAACATTCCTAAATCCCAACATCCAACATCAGCTCACGACTCCAACGCGACGAAATCCAAAAATCCTGGAATCCCAATGTCCAACACCTGAAATCCCCAAATCCCGAAATCCCGAAATCCCGACACCCCACAATCCCAAAATCTAACATCCCAAAATCCCAATGCCCAGCATCCCAAAATCCCAAGATCTCAAAATCCCCAAATCCAACACCCCAACATGGCTAAATCCCAACACAACACAGCCCCAAATCCCAAAATCCCAAAATTCCAACATCCAAAGTCCCAAAACCCTGGAATCCTAAAATTCCAACATTTCAAAATCTCAAAATCCCAAAATCCGAGACCCAACACCCAAAATCCCAAGATGCAACATCCCCAAATGGCAAAATCTTGATATCCAAAGCCCCAAATCCCAACACCCAATATCCCAAAATCCCAATATCCCAAAATCCCAACACCCCAAAATCCTGGAAATCCAAATCCCAACACCCCGAAATTCCAAAATTCCAACATCCCAAGATCTCAAAATCCAGCACGCAACATCCCAAAATCCCAACACACAAAATCTCCAAATCCCAAAATCCCAAGACCTCAAAATGACAAAATCCAACACCCAATATCCCAAAATCCTGAAATCCCAACACCCCAAAATTCCAAAATCCCAAAATCCTGAAATTCCAAAATCCAACAGCCCAGTCCTGAAATCCCGAAATCCCGAAATCCCAACATTCAACATCCTGAAATCCAAGACCCCAAATCCCACAACAGCCCAAAATCCCGAAATCCCCAAATCCCAACAACCCCGAAATCCCCAAATCCAAAAATCCCAAAATCCCCAAATCCCAACCGCACCCTTCCAATATCCCCAACGTCTCCATGTCCTCCCGGTGTCCCCAGGGTGTCCCCAGGATGTCCCCAGGGTGCCCCCAATGTCCCCATGGTGTCCCCAGGGTGTCCCCAGGGTGTCCCCAAGGTGTCCCTGTGTCCTCCTGGTGTCCCCGGGGTGTCCCCAATGTCCCCAGCATGCCCCACGTCCTCAGAGTTCCCGGTGTCACCAGGGTGTCCCCAGGGTGTCCCCATGTCCCCAGGGTGTCTCATCACCCCCTCCAGTGTCCCCTGTCAGGGGGTGCCTCCTGTCCCCCGTGTCCCGTGTCCCCAGTGTCCCGTGTCCCCCCCGGACTGTCCCTGTCCCCATCCCTGTCCCCATCCCTGTCCCCAGTGTCCCCAGTCCCCAGTGCCTCCTGTCCCCAGTGTCCCGTGTCCCCCCAGACTGTCCCTGTCCCCATCCCTGTCCCCACGGGGTGCTGGCAGCGCTGGGACCTGTCCCAAATCTCTCCCCATGGATCCCCAGTGAAACCGCAGAATTCCCGTTCCCTTCCCAAAACGGAATTCCCGTTCCCTTCCCAAAACGGAATTCCCGTTCCCTTCCCAAAACGGAATTCCCGTTCCCTTCCCAAAACGGAATTCCCGTTCCCTTCCCAAAACGGAATTCCCGCTCCCTTCCCAAAACGGAATTCCCGTTCCCTTCCCAAAAGGGAATTTCCTTTCGGGAAGGGAGCGGCAATCCCGGGACCCCGCAGCGCGCGGCTCCGAGGGATACGGGATCGAAGGAAACGGCCCCAAAACCCCCAAACCCCGGCAATCGGGGCCTCGGTGCCCGCGGGAGAACGGCACCGAGGGGCAGAACGGAGCTCAGAGCGCAGGCGCGGCACGGCTGCAGGGGAGGGGGGAGCCGGCGGCTGTCCCTGTCCCCCCGTGTCACCTCCGTGTCACCTCCCCTGTCCCCCGGGAATGTCCCCTCCTGTCCCCCCGGGAATGTCCCCCCGGGAATGTCCCCTCCTGTTCCCTGGGAATGTCCCCTCCGTGTCCCCCGGGATGTCCCCGCTGTCCCCCAGGCTGACTCGGTGTCCCCATTCCCGGATTTTCGCCCCCGTGCCAATCCCCGAACTTTTGGGATCCCGGCTCTGCCCGAGGCCTCCAATAAAATCCTGGAAAAAAATCCCAATAAAACAAATAATGAATTTTACCTTTTTGTTTCAATCCTGAAAAATCCCAAAAAAAATCCTCAAAAAATCCCAATAAAATCCTGAAAACATCCTGAAAAAACCCTGAAAAAATTCCAATAAAATCCTGAAAATTCCCAATAAAATCCCCCAAAAATCCTGAAAAAATCCCAATAAAATCCCCCAAAAATCCCAATAAAATCCCGAAAAAATCCCAATAAAATCCCCAAAAAATCCTGAAAAAATCCCAATAAAATCCC